GGCAGCTTGGCAGGAGTCTTATACAATGTCCCGCCCTCGGGAATAACATCCCACATTCTGGTAGTTATACCAACTCGCAGGTCCTACCCACCCTTCAGGGCATGGAGAGGCCTGAGGGGAGGCGGGGTAAACAGTCCTGGACCTCCCCGCTGAAGCCAGTAGGGGTGCCTTTAGAGACACTGCCCAGGCACAGCAGGGCTGCAGGCCTCGTGTGTGTATGTGTGTGCTTGCGTGCACACGTATGCATGTGTATGTGTCTATACAGGTATGCACATACACACGGGGGCATCAGTGCCTGGGTGTGCATGTGGAGGTGTGAGGTGCTTTATCTGACTACCCTGTCTAAAAGAGAAGCGCTATCGCTCTCTAAGTCCCTTTTCTGCTTTGTTTTTCTCCACGACACCTTTCACTACCTGACATCATATTGAACGTCCATAAGTTATCAGTTTCTTGTATCTCCACCACTAGATGTCAGCTCTATGAGGACAAGGCCCTGTCTAGTGTGTTCACTGGCAAATATACCTGCAACACCCGGAAGAGTGCCTGGCACACAGCACATGTATGGACAGGAGCTCAAGAAACCTGTGGGATGGATAGACGGGTGAATGGTTGGTGGGTGGATGGATGGGTGAGTGATTGGTGGGTGGATGGACGGGTGAGTGGTTGGTGGGTGGGTGGTGGGTGGATGGATGGGTGAGTGGTTGGTGGGTGGGTGGATGGGTGAGTGGGTGAATTAGCAGGGTAGACAGATAAATGAATGGATGTCTGCTGATGTGAATGCGTGCATGCAGGCCTTGACTCTGGAAGACACGTCAGGCTTCTTTGTTGTATACTCTTTCCAGAAAGATCTAGGAAACCCCGTACACCAGAAGCTGCAGGGCCCATGGGTATGTGGGAAGGCTCTGGGAGTTGAATCCTGGCAACTAGGGAACAGCTGTTGGACCTGTCCCATGGGTATGTGGGAAGGCTCTGGGAGTTGAATCCTTCTGGCAACTAAGGAACAGCTGTTGGACCTGCGATCAGAGTCCTGCCCAGGGTCACTCCATGCAGGGGTGGTGGGCTGAGGACTAGGGAACTGTGAGTGAGGAGGGGAGAGTGGCTACCCTAACAGGCTGGTACACTTTGGAACTCAGGGGGCAAGGGTCCCACAGCTGATGCCTTAGCAGTAAAGCCTTACTTGAGGCTAGATCTGAGCCACCAGAGACCGCATGGGTCTCTACCAGGAAGGGTGTTAAGACTGAGGGAAGGATCCTGGGGACCCAGTGGGCAGCCATGCCCACTAGCTGGAGGGTTGAGCAGGAAGCTTTCCTGGCAGTCCAGGGAGGGAAAGTAAATCTGAGCCAGGTCTGTGTTGAGACCTGAGCTGAGATCATCCTGTCACTTCTGGAGAAGGAGAAGGGTTGACCTCCACTTCCCACACCTCCCTGTCTAGTGCTGAGGACTCACTGTCCCTTCCGCCTGTTTAATAACCCACCACGTGACCAGCTTTCCATAAGCCCACCCATTTGTATGTGCATCCACCCTTGTACCCATTCCTCCATGGACCTGTTCATCTACTATTCCTTCCCTCATCTGTCAGTCTGTCTTTCCATCCACCCATTTATGCATCCTTATCAACATTGTCATCATTATATTAGCAAGTAAGCTCTCCTCACAGCAACCCTATGAGGAAAATGCTATTACTGCCCCCATTTTACAGATGAAATGAGGCAATGGCACAGAGAGCTTAAGTGACTTCACTAAGAACACACAGCTAATAAAAGAGCTGTCAGACTTGACAAGCTGAGCTCTTAACCTCTCAGTCTGTCTGTCTATCCATCCATGCACTCTCATAGTTGTTCATTCAATCCCTTCACTCACCTGTCACTGTCCAACCAGTGACCCATCCATCCATTGCTGTCGCCCATCCATCCTGAAGGTAATGCAGTTAGAGAACCGGGGGCCCTGAGGGGAGAGAAGGCCTGAACTGCCCATCTGGCTGGGGGTGGGGGCTGAGAGGGGAGTAGGGTGGGCTGCCCTAGGCTGGGCAGGGCTGCATGGGGCTGGAGAGAATTAGCCCAGTGACTGCCAGGATCATCTAATTAGGAATGCTAGTGATAAGCAGATAGGAATCCGGGGTGATTAGAATCCTTTTAAAAAGCCACTCCATTAATTACAAAGACAGAGAGGGGCCTCTGGCTGCTCAGAATACCAATTGGTTGCCTAATTGGCCTCTATCAGCTCACCCTGGGGGAGGGTTCCTGGGACTGCTGTGTGATCTTGGCTGTGCCCTGCCCTCTCTGGTCCTCCCTGTGCAGGCCAGGCTCTGCCTGAGATCACCTGGTCACTTAAGGTCTTCTCTCTCCTCTGGCCTGGCCCAGGGGGCTGGCTTTAGGGACATCAAAGGGAAGCTAGGCTGGCTCCCCAGAGTGGAGGAAGTCCCGAAAAGGAGGAGTTTCACTACCCCATTGACAAATGAGGACAGAGAGAGTTAGAGAGAGAAGTTGGCCTATCAGTCTATGAGAGACACGACTGTGGGGGCCTGAGCTGATGCTCATGCCTGGTCACCCTATTCTTCCATCTTTGTAAAAGGGGAAATCACGTCTGCATGCTGCTACCAGGCTCCACACCTCTCTTTGTGGGGAGCTTGCCCCACACCCACCCGGGGAACTGGGAGGGCTTTCTGTCTCCAGGGCACCTTTAGCAGTGAGGAGCTGGGCTCTGGGATGGCTCTGACCCAAGAGATATGATGGAGTCTGCAGCCCTGTCTTCACCCCAGCTGCTTCCTACAGATCCACCCAGGATGAGGCTTCAGGCTGGGCACAGGGCCTGGGCATAGGGCAGGGCAGGGACCCTGCCAAGGGGCTCTGGAGCACAGGGACCAGAAGAAAATTCCTCCTTAGGAGGACAGAGGTGGTCAGCACCAGCGTCTCAGGCAAGGAGGCAAGAGGGGAGCCTGGGTAGGAGGAAGCATCTGTAGGTTTCTTGGGCAAGTCATCATTCTGGGTTCCTTGTCTATTAACATTGCTGTAGCCACCCACATACTGTCCTAATTACACTGTTACGGCACCCTCAAGCTTCACTTGTAGTCTTGCTGTTGTCATCAACCCCCTTACCAATATCACATCACCCTGTCACCATCACCATACACATACCATCATCCCTACCTCCATCATCACCACCATCACTATTACCATCACCATTACTATGGTATCACCATTGCATTGCTCATATCACTATTATCACACTATCATTCCCATCACCCCCATCACATCCTGCCCCTGGCATCACCTTCATTACCTCAACCAGTATCACCATTACTAGGACCATCATCATAACTACAATCACCATCACTTCTATCACTGCTACCACCACCCCACCTCTGATATTATCTCCATTATTATCACCATCTCTACCACCATCATCATCACCATTACCATCTCTACTACTTGCTTCATTTCTATCATTATCAACAACATGTCTACCTCAACTAGTATTCACATTACCATGACCAGAAATACCCCCAACACTGTCATCACTACCACCACCATTATCATTACCACCACCTTCCTCATCACTACCACCATCTCCTCTATCACCACCGCCACCACCACATCTACCTCAGCCAGCTAACCATTACCTCTAGCTCAACCATGACAACCGTCATCACCACCTCCAACACCACCTCTGACATCACACCATCACCACTTGCATCATCATCATCATTATCACCATGCCCATGTCCACCACTCCCACCACCTTCATCTGAGTAACTGTCATCATGATACATGTACATAGTTGCTGACTATATAACAGATATGAAGATATTTAATAGTGTCCACAACCTTTGAGCAACCCAGGGGAGTAAAGATCAAGGACCATTGCTGATGGTCTCAGTCTGCAGCTCCAAAGAGAGCAGATCTCAAGAGTTCACCAGGAAGCTGCTGGGAATCTCATGATATTCTTGGACGCTGCCCCTGAATATCTCAGCCTCCAGGTCTGAAGCAGAGGATTCTCAGAAAATTGCCCAGAAGTTGCTGTGAACCCACTACACTCACTAATCTATAGTTATTTTCAATCCCTATTTTACTTTTCAGAATTGAGTGAAATGCTTCTTTTAATTTAGTTTTTGATCCTCACTGGAGGATATTTTTTCCATTAATTTCTAGAGAGAGTGGAAGGGAGAAAGGAGGGGAGATAGAGAGAGAGAAACAGTGATGTGAGAGAGAAACATCGCTAAGTTGCCTCCTATATGTGCCCCTACTGGGGTTGGGAACTTGCAACCCAGGTACATGTCCTTGACTGGGAATCGAACCCTTGACCTTTCAGTCTGCAGGCTGACGCTCTAACCCCTGAGAAAAACTGGCCAGGGCTAAATGCTTCTTTTGATTTGCTGTCCACTAGTCTCAGAAAAGCCCTGGGTTTGCATCTCCCTCTCTTGCACTGACATACTCTGTGACCTTGAGTATGTTGTTGCATGTCTCTGAGCTTCATTCATTCAACAAGTTGAACTGATTGCCAGGCACTGTCCTAGATGCTGGCAAACATCCCTGCCTTTGGTGGAGCTTACCTTTGAGGATCTGATAGGCTAATGGGGCCCAAGAAGAATGAAATCCGGCCCCCATCCTGCCTGAACCTCCACCTTGGGCCCCCTCAACCCATACCAGCAACCCAGCCATTGACCATAACCCAGGAAGCCCTCACTCCCTTCCCTTGACCAACATCACTGAGCTTTGTTGCCCACGTGGGCCCAGATCCCGTGGCTGATCCCGGGCTCAGCCAACAGCCCCAACATTACCCAGCTCCGAGTCTTGGCCCACCGTGTTGGCCAGCCTTGTTCAGAGGGTCAGGCCAACATGCCCGGTGTTGCTGGGGCCAGAGCTGGGGGTGGATCTGCCCCGCCCAGGGGCTGATGTCATAAAGGGCCTGGTCTCAGCTCTGCCGGGGAACCTGCCTCTGCCTGGCCCCACAGCGGCAGTGTCCCTCCCCTCCCCCCACCCCTTTCAGTGGAGGTGTCCACCTGTCCCTGAAAGCTGCTACTATGAAAGGGTAAACTCGCTGGGCAGAGCCACGCCCAGAGCCAGCAAGACCCCTGCTGAGGGACCCACACCAGCTGCTGCCTCCTCCGCACCCACCCTAATCACCTGGGCCCCTAGGCCCACCTCACCTTCTCACCCACCTCTGCCCCAACTCCTCCTTCAGCATGGTTAACTATTACGAAGTGCTGGGGGTACAGTCGAGTGCCACCCCGGAGGACATCAAGAAGGCCTACCGGAAGCTGGCCTTGCGCTGGCACCCTGACAAGAACCCTAACAACAAAGAGGAGGCTGAGAAGAAGTTCAAGCAGGTGTCCGAGGCCTACGAGGTCCTGTCCGACTCCAAGAAACGCTCGCTATACGACCGGGCGGGCTGTGACAGCTGCGGGGCCGGCGGTGGGGCCAGCACCCCTTACAACAGCCCCTTTGACAGCGACTACACCTTCCGGAACCCCGAGGACATCTTCCGCGAGTTTTTTGGTGGCCTGGATCCTTTCTCCTTTGACTTCTGGGTCGCCCCCTTCAACAGTGACCATACCAGCCAGGGCCATGGCCTGAGGGGCGCCTTCTCCAACTGCTTCGGTGAGTTCCCAGCCTTCATGGAGGCCTTCTCCGCTTTCGACAATCTGGGCCGCGGGGGAAGCGCTACCCGCACCACCTTCTCATCCACCTCCTTTGGGAGCTCTGGCTCTGGCAGCTCAGGGTTCAAGTCAGTGATGTCATCCACCGAGTTGGTTAACGGACACAGGGTCACCACCAAGCGCATCGTGGAGAACGGGCAGGAGCGTGTGGAAGTGCAAGAGGATGGGCAGCTGAAGTCGGTGACCATCAACGGCAAGGAGCAGCTTAAACGAGTGGACAGCAAGTAACCATGGCCCAAGTCCTGCACCCACCGCCTGACCGCCACCGCAGGCTGATGGTTAATAAACGTTCCAAGTGAGTGCATCGAATCAGCTGGCCTGGCTTTGGGGTGGGGGCATCTACGTAGACCTGCGCAGCGCTGGCTCCAGCACAAGTGGATGTGCAGAGGGGCCTGGGCCTCAGGGCTGCAGGCACCGCCTCCCAAATCCCGCTGTTGGGGGCAGGGATGGGAGGGTGCAGGGGTGGTTCTGCAGGTGATTTATGGTCTCTCATCTGTATCGTGTCAGTTGATAAATGTCATGACCATCGATCCATCTCAATCCAACCTTGTGTTCTACATCTACTATTTAAAAAAAAATGTTTGTATTGATTTCAGAGAGGAGGGGAGAGGGAGAGAAACATCAATGATGAGAGAGAATCGTTGATCGGCTGCATGCCCCACACTGGGGATCGAGCCTGCGACCCGGGCATGTGCCCTGACCGGGAATCGAACCATGACCTCCTGGTTCATAGGTCGATGCTCAACCACTGAGCCACACCGGCCGGGCTCCACACCCACTATTAACGCCAGTGTGGTGACATCATCCTCACCAGGCTTTGGCCCCAATTTCCAGCCCCTGCTCCTCACAGGGCTTCTTCACGGTGTTGTTGTGCTAATGCCCACACCGCATCATGTTACCCACCTTGCTTTAAACCTTCAGTGACACCCTTTGCTCTAAGCATAAAGACCTCAGGCCTCATCCTCATCACGAGACCCTGGGGACCTGGCCTGCCCACCTTCCTGGTCTCACTCCCACCAACCCTCATTCTCTGAACTGCACCCATCCTGGCCTTGCCTCAGTCCCTTCCTTGCACCCCATGCCTGGGAGCCTCAGGGCCTGCGCACAGGCTGTCTCCCACGTGAATGTCCACTCAGCTTCAGGCCTCTGCTCAAACATTGCTTCTTCAAGGAGTCCTGCCCTGACACCCCTGTTCTGAATTAGCTCCCCACCTGCCTGCTCTACTTTCTCCCGGCCCCCTCACCTGCTTTTCCATGGCCCTTACGTATCCATCTGTGTTAGATGTGTGCCTCTCAAGCACCCTGAGGAGCTAGGGAGCAGGGCCTGCCCTTGTTTGTCCCTCACTGTGTCCCCAGCCTCTAGAGCAGTGGTTCTCAACCTTCCTAATGCCGCGACCCTTTAATACAGTTCCGCATATTGTGGTGACCCCCAATTTCATTGTTACAAATTGAACATAATTAAAGCATAGTGATTAATCACAAAAACAATATGTAATTATATATGTGTTTTCCGATGGTCTTAGGCAGCCCCTGTGAAAGGGTCGTTCGACCCCCAAAGGGGTCGCGACCCACAGGTTGAGAACCGCTGCTCTAGAGCAATGCCTGGCACCAAGGGCAGGGCACATATCTGTTGGGAGAATAAATGTCTCTGGGTGTTGTGGTGGTGGGGTGAGTGTAGTAGGATGTGTGCAAGTGTGTGTGATGTGATATGTGGGGGTGGCGATATGTGTGATGTGGTGTGGTGTGTGTGAGTGTGTCGTGTGTGTGATGTGGTATGAGCTGGAGTGTGGTATGTATGAGTGGTGTGTGTGTGATGCGGTATGGGGGTTTGGTGTGTGACGTGATGTGTGTGAGTGTGGTGTGTGTCTGTGTGTGTGTGATGTGTGCACGGTGTGTGTATGGGTGTGGCATGTGTGTGGTAGGTTTGTGTGATGTGGGGTGGGTATGTGTCAGTGTGGTGTGGTGTGTGTGTGTCCATGTGTGTGAGTACTGGGTGCTGGGGCATGTGTGATGACTCCAGGCAGGACAAATAAGGGCCGACTGTTGGGAGGAAGTCGGTGCCAGAGCAGGAGATGGGACAGGAGCTGGGCCTGCTCAGGCCCCAGGGACAGTTTCAGGTGGAGGCTCCTGCTGCCTCTGTGGCACCCGGGGACCTGAGGGAGGGCAGTCTTCAGAATCAGGGCGGGCTCTGGGTGTGACACTCTACTGTGGGCACTGAGATGGTGGTGGGCATCCTTTGAGCAGTTGTTGGCTGTGGCGGGGACACAGGTACACGGGAGAGTTCACAGGTACATGGGCCGCTGTGGGCAGACAGACGGTGGGCACCTGGGAGAACTCCTGGCGGGTACTCTAAGGACTGGGACCCTCTTATATGACTTCCAGGTGATGCCCACATGACCCTATGTGGGCGGGGGTCTGTGTCATATGTGTGGGCACTATTGTGTGTATGTGCAGCATGGAGCAGTGGAGGGCGGTTTGATTACAGTCTGCAGCCCCAGGAAACCATAAACTCTCAAAACCAGGAGCTCTGTTTTTCTCATTGCTGACCCCAGCACCTGGCTCAGGGGTTGTGAGGAGGTGTGTGTGGGGCCTGCTTGTAGCCATGCCTATGAGCCTGGGTGAGGTCTTATACCTGGGCCCAGGGCCTGTCCTCAGCATTGTATCCCCATTGAAGGAGCCACCAAAGGCACAGACCTCACACTCTCTGACACACTCAGCTGGGAGGGGAGCAGATCCAAGAGCTGTTGCCCAATTAGAAATAAGAAGATGCCCAGTCCTGAAAGCTTGTAAATAATTCTGCTTTAAAGAGATGAAGGACGTTAGGCTGGGAGCCCTGGCTGGGAGCCCTGGCTGGGCCAGCAGTGGGTGGGTCCCAGCTTTGTGTGACTACAAGGGCTATTTCAGGCCAGGAGAGCAGATGGGTTGAGGCTCAGAGATCAGACCGAGGACCCTCTAGGAGGGGTGGGTGTCACAGGAGTAGGTCCTGTGGAAGCAGAGCTTTCTCCAAGTCAGAGCAAGGCAGACTCCCTGAGGGCGAGTGAGCTTCCTGTAGTGGGAGGGGTGCTGGTGCTGAAGACGGGAAGCTGTGTTCTGATTACCTGTGGGCCTACTGAGTGACAATTTTTTAAAACTATATAAGTACATATATATATTTAAATGTTTTTATTGACTTTTTTTTGAGAGAGAGAGAGAAACATTGATGTGATAGAGAAACATCCATCAGTTGCCCCCATATGCACCCCAACCAGGGATTGAACCCACAACCTGGGTATGTGCCCTGACAGGGAAGTGTACCGGCAACCTCTCCATGCACAGGACAACACTCAACCAACTGAGCCACACCAGCCAGGGTTTAAAGTATATTTTTATCTTGAAATAATCTCAAACTCAAATATGTGTCAGGCACTTTTAATTCAATGCAGTTTAGAAAATACGTACGTATTGAGTCCTGGGGATACAGCAACGGGCAAAGTGGTTAGATTCCTGTCGTGTGGAGCTGACACTGTTGGGGGAGCAGGTAACAAACAGGTGTATAGACTATTGTCTCCAGTAGCAGTGAATGTGAGAGAGGAAATGCAGGCAGGTAAGCTGATGGAGAAGGATGGGTGTAGGGGATGGGCAGGGGAGTTTTAAGGCAGGTGGTCCTGGAAGGCCTCTCTGAGGAGGTGGCATTTACCAGAAACTGCAATGAAAGTGATACTGTGGACCATGTAGCTATCTGGGGGGAAAGCAATCTGGGCAGAGGGAACAGCAAGTGCGAAGACCCTGAGGCAGGAAAAGGACTGCCCTTTTTGAGGAAAAGAAAAGAGGCCAGTGAGGTAGATACATACAGTTCAATTTAATGCCCACAGCTCTCCCAGACTGGGGCCATTGACCATGTTACACAACTGGAAACAGAGGCATGGAGAGGAGCCACACAGCTGGCAAGTGGCTGAGCCAGAATTTCATCCAAGTTATTGACTCCAAAGGATTTGCCTTCAAAATAATTAATAATAATAATAATAATAATAATAAATAATTGCAGCTAAGGTAGGTGTGCCCCTGGGAGTACACGTGTGTGTCTGTGTGAAGCATCAGTATGTTGGCAAGTCCTTGTTTCTTGGGGGCTGGAGTAGAGTCAGAAAAGGAGGTGATTCCAGGTTTCAGGGTTGAAGCTGACTGTGACAGGGTTTCTGTCACTATTAGCTTCCCAGGCTGGGAAGAGAGGAGTGTGGGCATGACCAGCAAAGGTGCTGGGAGTGCCATTGGGCGGGGACCTAATCAGGTTTTGCTCAGCCGTGCATGGCAGCTCCTAGCCCAGTGTCTGGCTTGTAGTAGGTGTCCAATAAGTAACGGGAAGTGAAAGAAAATGGGAGCAGACTGTTCCAGGGAATGACAAAAAGCAGGGGGTATGCTCAGAGGATAACCTCTGGAGCTCAGATGGGAGAAGATGCTGGGAGGCCTTGAGCCTGGGGGGAGGCTGAAGCCTGACACAGAGAGACCTGGGGAGGAATCCATCCCACGTCTAGATGTACAGCAGGGATGAACACCCCTGGTGGGGGTGCTCAAGGACCAGAGGTGGGCCTGGGTGCTGGTTCTCCCAGGGGAGCTTGTTAAAGGCTTCTTGTAGGAAGCCAAAGGGCATCCCCAACATCTTTTGGGGTTGCAAAGTCCTCTGGTGCTGCAAGTGCCCTGGTCAAGAGAACATAGTAGGTGACCTGGATGCTCAGCTGCACCTCCAGCCTCAGCCCAGGCTCTGGCTGGGTCCCACCTCCAGGAGCCCCTGGGACAGGCTGGCAGCTGGAGGTCCCCTAACCACATTACTCAAGGGGCAGGAGAGTCCCGAGATGCACAGAAGGCCGAACCCCAGCTTCCAGTCCTGCAGGGACTAACTTCATCAAAACCCCTACTACAGCATTAACCACCTGACCTCTGCCCCTGCCGACCTGCTAATTTCACCAATTACTGGCCAGCCGAGCTTGTATCAAGTGGGCCTGCTTAGCTCTGACAGCTGCTGGGAAAATCCAGTTACGGCTCAGCAGCCCAGGTGGTTGCATGTTCCTGGGGTTGGGTGCCCAGCAGAGATCTGGGTGCTTGGAAGGCACTGGTGTTCCTGAACATTCCAGAGACCTCAGGGCCAGGGCTCCCTGTCTGCACTGCCTTCCTTTCACCAAGCCTCCCACCTGAAGCTGGGGCCTTCCCCCGCCACACAGACCATCCGGGCATTCCCCTGCTTCAACTCATCCTGGA